TATACAATTAAGTAATATTGTAATAATTCAGATTGAATGTTTAATTATTATTATACTGACATTAACGCAAATATTAAAATATGTACTTACATATCAAATGTCTTGTTTATGCAACTTTAATGTGGAATAATATAACCGTAATGATATACTAAACTGCGGTTAGATATAATTCTAATAAAGTGTATTTTATACAATCAAATAAATTTGACTAAGTGTTTTTCTTTCCATGTTTGTAAAATAAAAAAAAAATTAAATTGAATTATTTTGCAAAGAGAGTTTAACAAAGATTTTGCAATGTAAAAAAAGTTGTAAATTGCATATTGTAAAGCAATAATATAAGTTAATCGCATTCAATCAGAGAGGGGGTTGGGGTGTGAGATGTCTTAATTTATTGAAAAAAAAAAATTAATTTTGTGACAAAAATTTTTAATAAAAACCAATATTATGTACAGAATTGTAATAACATAAATAAATAAGTACCCATAAAATTTACATAAAAAATTTTAAAAGTAACAAAAAATAGGTTTTTATAATGAATTTTATTTTGTTTTTAGAATGTCTGTGTTTTAGAAATATCAGGTACCTAAAAACTTTGAAACATATAAAATAAAACTGGAATCTTTTTAATAATTGAAACATATATACAATATGAAATACATATACAATACATACAATACATATGCAAGTTTTGTAATACATTCTAAAAAAAATTTTTGCATAACTTTCATTTATTTTGTTTTCACATTTTTTTATAATTTTGAAACGACTGGCCAGCTGAGTGACGAAGAAAAAAAATTTAGTACAATTTTTATGTTCATTACGCAATTTAATATAAAAATTAATATGTTAGATTAAAATTATTTTACTTCTTTAAATATATGATTACATACTTATGCATACTATATGTATATATATATATATATATTACTAATATACAAATTATATTTTTGAAAAATATTTACTATTTTTATTTGCCTATATTTCTTACCTATTGACACAATCAATTTATAATTAGTAAAGCATATATTGATGTTGGTGCATGATGAGGCGCCGGTGCTCTATATAAATTAATAGATTTTTTCACTGAATTGAATTATTTTTTAAATCACTCAGCTAAATTTTTATAATTTCGTCATATTTCTATTTTGAATATAACTATCATTTGATCTGTTTCGATTTTGTTTTTAACTTTTATGATGCAGTAGCGTTTTTTTTCATAATTTCTTTTTATAACTTAACAATACATTTTTAATAATGATATTTTTTACATAAAAATATATATATATTTTTTTATAAAAAAAGAAACAGAAAAACAAAAAAAAATATCAGCATTGGTGCAATATAAAAAAAAATTAACTTTTGTCCGATTATAAAAAAGCAATTATTAAATAAAATAAAAATATATTATATAAAATATTAAAAAAAAAGTATTGCAAAGTTATAATTAATAAGTGTACATATATGTAGGCATATATTTATATATATATATATATATATATATATATATATATATATATATATAATATATATATATATATATATACGTATAACTTGTATATCAATAGTATAAAATAAAATTTTTGCTCCGTATATAATGTTATAAAAAAATGAAATTTATAAAAACAATTTAAATAAAAAAAAAGTAAAATTACAAAATACAAGATACCAAAATTCTTTATAATAATTAATATATAATAAATACATATTACGCATTGTAATGTTATATTTATCATAAACCTAGTCATAAGGAGTATTTACATTAACTAAACAAAATAAAAATTATAAAAATAAAATAAAAACTTGTTTTATTAAACACACACACATAAATAAATTCTTTTGTATTTGTACATATGTATATGTAAATAAAAATAAAAGAATAAAAAGTTTGAATGAGTGTATATATATACATATATATATACATATATGTATATATATATATATATATAACATATATATATATATATATATATATATATATATATAAATATGTTATATATAACATATATATATATATATGTGTGAATATATATATATAATTCTTTAGTAGTTAAGCTAAAATAGGATAGCATTACAAAAAAATAATTAATTAAAGAAAAAAAGGAAATACCTAAATATATAAATGTGACAACAAAAAATAGAATTTTTGCTAATTAAACATAACATAACATACATTTGTATATGTGTCCATAAAACGCATACATATACAGTTAAAAATATACAATTTATTTGAAAAAAAAAAAACCAAAAAATATATAAAAAAAATAAAAAATAAATTAGAAAATAATAATTAATCCATTTATAAATGTATAAAAATAATTAAAAATAACAAAAACAAAAAAAAAAAACATTAAAATTATAACAAAAATAATTAAGAAAATCCAAAGCTTATAAAAATATATCATTCTTATCAAAAAAAAAAAAAGAAAAACAAAAAAATGCAAAAAAATATATATAACAAAAATTAATAGATATATTTATTATATAACAATTTGAAAGAAAAAAACAAAAAGAAAAGAAAAAAAAAATAAATGTAATATTGTAAAAAAAATTAATAAAATATTAAAAAACAAAACAAAAATATGCAATATCATATAATATAGTACATGTCAATTTATTGTTTTTTATTATTGCCTTATGACAATATGTTATATGATAAATCATAACTAATATTTAAGTTAAATAAATGTAAAATTCTCATTGTAATTGTTTTTCATTTTTTAATTTTTTATCATTTAAAATGTAAATGAGTTTGTTAACTTTTTTTAAAAAAAATATATATATACATTTATATTAAGTGTTGAATTTTTATTACATTTTTCTTTTACTCCTTTTTCTTCGTTCCTTGAATTTTGACTATTAAAAAAGAATTCAATAAATCAATATATGTAAGTACAATTTATTAATTGTATATTGATTTATTGAATAAAATTTTATACATACATATGCATGTGGGTATGTCTATAATTCTCAATTAACTGGAAATAAGGAAAATAACATTCAGTTACAATTTTAAAATTATATTTTAAAATAATTTGTAATTTTAACCTCTTTTTAACATATTTTAAAAAACTTCGAATGTCAAATTGATTCTTTAAATGAATTTTCAGAGCAATTTTTTCCATATGGCTTAAATATTAATAAATTATTAATAAATATTTTATTTTTTATTAGAAGTTTTTTTTATAATTTAGTATATAAATATACTAAATTTGCAAAATGTAAATTTTCGGCTAGCTATCTTCATATATTTTCGATACCATCACCTATATTAAATAAAATTATACCAATCAGCTTTATAAAATTATATAGATTAATCTGCTATAAAGATTGATGACTGTTTGTATATTATACCGAAATTATCCCAGACTTTGCGTAATATTTAACAATTTTCTACTTATAATCTACTACATATTCGGCGTCAGACAAAATCTGATGTCATCATAGAAGATTTAACGTTTACCACTTTCATCAGACTTAGATTAAATCTTAGATATTGTAGGACATGTAAACAGTAGCAAATCGAAATAATTCATTTGTAAATTACAATGCCTTGACCTTTACAATATTGCACTTTACAACACTGCACTTTAACAGAAGGGTCTCGGGTTCAAAGCCAAGTCAGATCACAATAAAAATTATATTCAATGTACATATATACATATAGCTTTATACATGTCATACATATTAACTAATTGCCATATTTCAATAATATCCATTATTAAAAAAATACCAGCTATGTATAGTAAATACGTAAGAAACTCGTGTTAATGGTTATCTACAATATCGTGCGCCAGCCCTATGCTCTGCCCAGGAGCGAAGTAGGAATAATAAAAATTACATATAAAATTTCACACTGATTGAATTTTCTATTATAATATATTATGAAAGAATAAAGAAACTTAATTCTTTCCATTTCAATGTAAATTGTTACTTATTTTCTAAATAATCAAGTGCCATACCCAAAAGTTAAGTGAGCAGACACTACATTAATTATGAACCACATCAAGTCTTCCTGCGGTCGAGAACCATTATAGCCAAAAATCTATCCCTTTACCTGATGACGAAAGGGCAAATGAACGTAAGTCATTTGAAAAGAACATTGATTACACAGAAAAGCAAGGTAAGAGCGCAAAAATGTTAAAAAGAATGATGCTATTTCTTTGACTTTCATTTTTAGTTTGCAAAGTTTTAACAACACCAAAAAGTGGAAAGAATTAAATGTTCCAATTGATTGTTCTCTCGGGTCAAAAGAAAACGAAGATTCCGATTGAATTTAATGAAATTTAAAAAACTAAATTAGTGTTGAAGGACTTTTTTTCAATAAATAAAATTAAGATTTACATTTTTACAACAAAAAACTGAATGCTAATTAAAATAATTTATGTGCATAAGGTTTTTTGTGTTTAAACAAGAAAACTTATAAAAAACTAACGAAACTGCCAAAACTCGGTAGAAATATACATTTTCAATAAAATTATGTGTTATTCTAAAAATATCAATAAAAATTGCTTGAAAAATGTTTTAGAGCACTACATAACTTTTAAAATTTATTTGTGAAAACTGACCAAATTTTCGAAAATTATCCAAATGCGTTTTTCTCGAAATATAAAAAAAGCAGTTTCGTGACTCTTCCGCAATACCGAGGAATTATGTATAATCATAAGTACATAATATTTTCAATTAAATTTGCTTTTTGTGGTTGTAATTTATGCTTGAAACATTTTTCGAAATTTCAAAAAATATTTTAAAATATTGAAAATTCAAATCATAATTGGCTCATATACATTGGTACATATAAGTATTACCAACTTAAGTTGTCAAATGTACCTTCACTTAACTTGATCTTAACCATGTAAATATATTCCCACTCTAAAATTGTAACTTTAGGGTTTTCCTAATAGATGGGAGTTATTGCACTTGCAAAGATAAATTTTTGACACCGCTGACATATTCAGATTTCAGATTGTTTGTTAAAAAATGCAAATTTTATTTCCTACGTAAACTTTTTAAATTAAATTTATAATAATTTTAAGAAAAATTTAGGATCAATCGAGCAATACTAAAGTAATTATTAAACGCCAACAATTTTGTTAAAAGGATTTATTTTTTAAAAATATATTGTGGATATCGCGTAAACAATAATAGTATATTTGAAAGAGGTGAATTATATTAGACACTTACAATTCAAGTGTTGAATAGACGTTAAAGATGGATGCAGCTCCAACAACTGAAGTAGTTTATCAAGGGATATTTACTTTATATAATAATCCAAATTCAAAAGAGAAAGAAAAGGCGTCGAAATGGCTAGAGGAATTCCAAAAATCGGTGAGTTTTTTTTTATAACCTAAAATTTCTAAAAACTTCTAGATGTTTTGGTTGTTTTATGTACTTATGTACATATGTATATATTATTAATCAAATTTTTAACTTGCATTTTATCATTTAAGATATATTCTTGGACAATAGCTGACCAGCTGTTACAACAAAAGCGGGATTTACAGTCATGTTATTTTGCAGCACAAACTATGCGAAATAAAATTCAAAATTCATTTCATGAGTTACCATTATCTTCTCACGAAAGTTTACGTGATTCTCTTATTGCACATATAGGACAAATAAGAAATGATACGGATCCCATCATTGTAACACAATTATGTTTAGCAATAGCAGATTTAGCTTTATTAATGTCGTCATGGAAGGATCCTGTTATTTCATTAATTGAAACATTATCACAGCGACCTGATTCCATCTGGCCACTATTAGAGATATTAACTTTAATACCAGAGGAAATTGATTCTCGTTACCTAAGGTTAGGCTCTAATCGAAGGGCTGAAATTCATAAAACTTTGGAAGGTAGTGCCCAAACCGTCATGAATTTTTTGAATGTGTGCCTGCAAGAATATGGACATGACGTTAATTTGTTGAATAAAATAATTACCTGTTTTAATGCGTGGATTGCAATTCATGCTGTTCCGCTTAGCAACTTTACAGGAAATCCTGTAGCCCAAAAAATATTTCAATTATTAAATGATATTGGTACATCTAGAAAGCTGCACGATTCAGCAACTGATTGTTTATGCACTCTTCTTCTATGTATAGAAGCTAACAACAATAATCAAGATGATGACAGACAAATATTGGAGATGCAAATTTTTAATGGCATTTTGGGTTTAGAAAATTGTTATCACACTTATATTGGTGTAGGTTATGAAGATATTGATAAGGCTATAAATTATTGTAGGATTTTTACCGCATTAGGTAAATTAAATGAATAATGTTAAAATTGCTATAATATTGTATTTAAATTCTTCAGCGGAATCATTTTTGGAAAAAATGTTGGCAGATGAGAAAGCTCCTCATTACTCAATCAAGTCATTGGAGCTAGTTTTAACTTGTGTAGATCATTACGATTATGAAGTAGCTGAGATTACTTTTAGTTTGTGGTATCGTTTAAGTGAAGAATTGTATCAGAAAAATAACGATCAACTCACTAGTTACTTTAAAACGCACATAGAGCGACTGATATCAGCCCTATTCCGACACTCTCAAATGGATGCAGACCATGAAGGTTTAATTGATGAAAACGATAACTTTCTTGTAAGTAATTTTTTTTAGAGCGATGCATAAAATGATGCATATATATATGTGTGAGCGTTATCATTTTAGGATTTTCGAAGAAAAGTTTCCGAATTAATAAAGGATGTTGTATTTATTATTGGGTCAACCAACTGCTTTAAGCAAATGTTTATTATTTTACAAGACCCAAACGCTACTTGGGAACGAAGTGAATCTGCATTATTTATAATGGAAAACGTTGCTAAAAACATTTTACCGTAAATTTGTCAAGTTTTTTTGAATCATTTAAATTTTTACAAAAATTATTTCAGTGATGAAAACGAAATTGTATCTAAAGTAGTAGAGGCCATTCTTAATTTACCCCCAAACACTCATATAGCTTTTCGTTTTACATCAATTATGTTAATAGGACAACTTTCTGATTGGATTGATAATCATCCAGAATCTTTGCAAGCGGTTTTAAATTTTTTACTATACTCATTACAACAAAAAAATGGATTGGCTAAAGCTGCGGCAATATCTTTAACTCTCATTTGTACTTCAAGCAGAGATCATATGGTTTACCATTTAAATGGTCTTATAGAAATTGCACGAAGTTTAGATAGTTTTGAAATTAATAATGAATTGGCAATTGGTCTGTTGAAAGGGATTTCCATTATAATATCTCGTCTACCACGTCCGCAACTAGAACAAGCAATGAACCAAATATGCTCATTTCAATTTGGCCCTTTGTTGCATTTAGTTGAATCAACCAGTGGTAAATATCCTAAAAAATTTTAATAAGTGCTAAAGTGAGAACTTATGTAATTAAATTTTCTATTAATATTTTAGCTGAAATCACGAAAGGAGAAAGAAATGATCCAAGTTATTGGATTGATCGAGCTTGCGCTGTTATCCGTCACACAAATTTTGATATAAGTTCAAACGCAACTCATCCAGCGGTGCACATATTGACAGATTCATGGCCTCTATTTTCAAAAGTAATGGACAAATATCAAAGTGATGTAAGAATAATGGAGCGCACTTGCCGTTATATACGTTATGGTATGCGAGCGGTTGGTACACAGGCATCTCATTTATTAGAGCCTTTAGTTAAGCAAATGATCCATTTATATTCAATTCATTATCATAGCTGTTTCCTGTATCTTGGAAGTATTTTGGTTGATGAATTCGCAAAAAGTGAGGAGTGCACTGCAGGCTTATTAGAAATGTTAAAAGCATTTATAGAACCAACATTTAATATGCTACATGTGGAAAATGGTTTAAAAAATAATCCAGACACTGTCGATGATTTTTTTAGGCTGTCCTCAAGATTTATAGAATGTTGTCCAATTCCATTTCTTCAAAGTCCATTGGTTAGACCCATTTTCCAATGTGCTTTACTAGCAATACCTTTGGATCATAAAGATGCCAATTCATCTGTTATGAAATTTTTTTGCAATTTATTAAAATGTGGTCGGCCTACCTATAAATTAGATGTAACAAAACCGTTAGTTAAAGAGATAACCCATCAAAATGGGCAAGAATTAGCAATGAACTTGATTCATGCCTCGGTTTTTTGTTTACATTCATACATGTTGCCTGATGTTGCAGAAGTTTTAAATGAATTGAAAACTGTGGAGGGACATGTCAGAATGGAGATATATTTAAAAAATGCTTTAGAAGCGCTGCCAAAGAAAAACAGCGGTGGTTGCATAACAGCAACTCAAGAACAATTAGATGAATTTAGCCGTATTGTAGTAAGGTAAATATTCCGTTATGTGTAACATCTGGAAGCTCTCTTAATGTTGGTTCATTGTTTATTTTATATAAAAGTTTTGCTCTCATTTTAAATTCATTTTTTTCAATTAAATTTTTTAGATCTGAAACAACAAAAGCTGTGACAGTAGCATTAAAAGACTTTACAAGATTATACCGATGAGACTTTACAATTAATAACATAATATTAAAAATCATGATAATATAAAATTAAAAATTTGAAATATTTGATAGAATCAACATTTTACATACATATAAAGGAGATGCAATTAGCATCGTATTTTAAATCTATAATTGTAAAAATAACTGACGAAAAAATTTTATCTGTACATACATGTATATGTATATTTTCTTTATTAAAGGCAGTTAACGATATCGTTTCCAAATACAGTTTAAAAAGAGAAAACACTTGTAAAATTATATATAAACGAATATCTTAATTTCACTAACGAAAACATATTTAAAATTACTTTTAATACTAGATTCAAAAATAAACAATTTTTAGTTACTGAATTTGAATATTAGATTCTTACTAAAGCAAATATATTCAATAATTTGAACGGAAAAATATAAAATTGATGTTTGCAATAAGAGTTTTAAAAGCATTGTTTCATTTTAAATAGAATTTAGTTTATGTTATTATTAACACCTTGGAGTTATGTTATTAATATCAATATCTACATATTTAAGTCGAGGTCTTTTAACTTATCGATATATTTAATCAAATAAATTCCGGAACGTATGATAATCAAAAAATTTCTGTGTTAAGTAGGTATAAATAGTTTTATGTTATATTTTATTAAAAACGTTTGTTCTTTTACAATAAACTTAAAATTAGAGAAATTTATCGAACTTGTAAGGTTATTTCAGATTTATTTTCTATTTTCTTCATATTAATTTCATGATTTAATATTAACTGTATTTTTTTATTCACGTTTTAAATTTTTCCAACTTCTAAAAATACTTCGAAATTCCATCTAACATTTTTAAAATAGCAGCATATTTTTGTAGTTGAATTATTAAATATCGTTACTAGCACTTTTTAGTAATAAATAACAAATTTATATATTGTAAGATCTAAATAAAATTCTTTAATCAATGCAGTTTTATTGGAATAGACCATTTTATAACAAATTATTGGATATATTTAAAATAAGTATGTGTTTTAATCTGTAACAGTATTTCCATGATTTCTTTTAAAAATAAATAATTCAATAAAATAAAAAAATTTGGTCCTAGTTAAGATTTTGGAATCATAATACATACATAAAATTAATACGAATACTATTTGCGATATTATTTTTCGGCTAAAATGGATATATAATACAGGTTTTTGACTGGAAATATTTATTTGCACGTTACAAATCTTTTAAAAGATAAAAAACTTCCGCCAGCAACTTTAAAAGCTAGTATTCCAGTTAAAATTACTATAATGTAATTTGGTATCAAACTAGCTGTATAAAGTCCGCTTTTATTGAATAACGTTAATAGAGATACTAATAAATGAGAAAAGACTACATAAGCTACATGTGTGTATTTTGAAGTATCCCAGGCATTAAAGAATATTATACTCCAAAATGTATGTAAAAAAATCATGCAGAGGGTTTGAGCAGCTGATATTATAAAAAAGATTTCTGTACCTCCGTTTAAGCCCATTGTTGCAGGACCAGTCTAAAAAAAGTCAATAATTACTTCTTATTGGACAAATCCTTTTTCACTTACTAAATCTGCTAAGACATTTGATAAAGCAAATAATCCACTAATAATACCGAAACCTAATCCAGAAACATAAGCTAATATATGTTTATTTTCAACAACTCTACTACTTTCTGTGATATCTTGAAGTCCTCTTTCTGATTTTCTAATTAATTTATACACCACATAACGGAAAAGTTCCTGAAACAAGATGAGTCGTTTCGCTTTGTTATATATTACACAAAAACACAATAATTTTTACCTGTAAAAGAATCGAAACAATTGCTCCAAACCAAAGGCGGTCCCTCAATGGCACTACTATAAACCAAATTATTGAAGATAATAATATTGATAAAACCCAAAAAAATGATGCTGCTATCATTATTATAATACGAATTGGATCTATTGCAACAGTTAAGATAAACATTGACATTGGTGGCCCAAAAGCCAAGAATGCACAACCGAAAAACTCAGCTATTGTCATTATATGTACTTGATTGATATAAAATTAGGGGTTTACTCGGTTTTTATCAAAATTTTCATATCTTCAAGGACTGCTTTGGATCTAATAGATTTTTTAGGCTTTTAATCAAACAAATTTACAGAAATACGTCCATATAAATATAAATGTAAATCAATCTAAAATATTATTAAATTTACTAGTTACAAAACTGTTAGAAATAAATTGTTAACTGTCATCCGAAATGTCAAAAAGCCTCCACTACTTAACAGATACATATCTCTAATTTATACAAAATGTTACGATTGATTGACAGTCACTTCCCACAAAAGTACCATCCAACCTGTTTGGATAATTGACAGTCACTTTCAACAAAAATACTATCCAACCTGTTTTGACTTCCATAGGCTCAACCGATTGAAGCCCTATAGTCCAATATGTTTGAAATTCAATCGGATTGACAGTCACTTCCCACAAAAATACCATCAACCTATGAAAATCCAAATGATTGAGTCATTTTCCACAAAAATACTATCAGATTATGGAAATCCAAACAGGTTGGATAGTATTTTTGTGGGAAGTGACTGCCAATCACTAATAGACCAGACAATAAAAGATTTTAAAATTTGAAATAAAATTGAAAATTTATTTTGAGTAAAATTTTTCTACACTCAAAGGGGACAAGGAAAGATTTTTCGTATTTCTTACAATATTTCTTATGCTTAAATTAAAATCATAAGTCCTTTCTCTTGAATACTCGTCTGCTACCAAATTAGGCATTGGTTCAATTTCATGAAATTTCGATCCTGCTTGTTTCCCAGTAGAAATATTAGATACAGGATTTAAATGCGAAAGTTGATCATTCTCATTTAATTTATGAAAATATTTACTCGTATTCAAACAAAAATCAGATGAATTTTTAGAATCAGGAAAATTTAAAAACTGCTCAATAACGTTATTTGACAAATTTTTTGTATTTGATAATTCAATTATTTGATTCTGGTTTACAAGTACTTTTTTTGCTAATTCATTGCAAGTTTTAAAAATTTCGGAGAAATTGGTTAATTTATCCGAGCAAAATATTTTTTTATCAAACTTAGTCGAATTAGCATAATTTTGTGGCTTTGACCCTAAAAAAACTTCTCGATAAATTTTAAATTTATCTTTAAACCAATTTTCCTGTATTTCAGACCTATTTGTACTTATTTCTATATTTGAATTTGTCCTACCTTCTGAATTAAATAATTTTTTTGAAAATCTGCCTGTATTAAAAGATGGACCACATATAGTTTTCATTTTTATTACACTTGGCCGTTGATTTAATAATTCTGACGTTCCAATTTCTTGTGAATGCAATGATGGAATCTTATTAGCAATGAAATCGTTCAAATTTTTATCAATTTCATTCAGGCTTTGTTTTCGTTTACGTTTTTTTCTACTTTTTCTTTTTTCCGGAGTTTCATAATAAAAGGGCCTACTATTATCGTCAATAAAATGTAGCCAATTTCGATAGGGGTCTGGTGGCTTTATTTTTCGCGATCGAATATTATAAAAGTTCTTAACAGCTATAGATTGAAGAGGTTCAATGTTTGCTTGTTCTATTAATAATTCATTACTCAAAACAGATTGCTGCTGGAATGTTATTTCTTTTTCTTGAATAGAAAGTAAATTCTGAACGCGCCATTCACTAAGTGAAATATCCGTTTGAGGTTTATATAATTCTAGTTGAAGACTTTTGTTACCACGTTCTTGTCCGCGAACTTCTTCTATATTTGCATTAATTCTTTCAACTAATTCATTTGGCTTGATTCTTGAATGCGGAAGAGGATTATTAACAATTTCTTTTGGAAAGTCCATTAATAAATCATCTTGATAGTTATATGATGTTGGTTGTGGGATGAGATTCGAAGGATCAAGGGAAATTGTGTTTGGTAAAATTCCCTTACTGGAAATAGAGTTAGGAAAATTAAGCAAATCCACATTACGTCTTTCAAATTCATCTCTTCTTATTTTCTGACTGCCGCTAAATGTACGTAACTGTTCATCTAATTCAAAAGAGATAGATACATTTTTTAATACGTTACAAATTCTTTCAAGTTCAGGCGATCTTAATTTCGGTGCACTTCGAAAATAGAGTTCATCATAATTTGGGTTTTCTTCTTTTTTAATTGTTGAATGCTCTAATTGAAATTGCGGTAAGGAGTTTCTCCATTTCGTTTTCTTTTTTCTTATTTCAATAGGAAAATATTCACATATATTTTCCCGCGAAATTTCAGAGTTTCCTTCTAAATTCTTTTCTTTTGTTGAAAAGAATGATTTTTTGGTTTGTTCAGATTTTTTGTTTTCTACTTCAAATGATACTACATCTTGATTTTCTAATTCCTCCACCATTCTTTGACGCGGAATTTCGAATTGTTCATCTAGGAATATATTTTCCGAGCCACTCTCTAGGATATTGGAGAAAACTTGGTCGTTTCCTTGCTCTTCATTTTTATCTCTCTCATTTTCTTTATTTTTACTATTTAAAAGTAATTCATGTGCATAAGTCTTTAAATCTCCCATAAATTCTTCCAACTTGCAATCGTCAATGTAGGATAATTCATTTTGTATTTTGTTAAAATAGCATTTTAAAAATTCGTATAGCATAAGACCATATTTTTTCCTATTTCTCTCATTTTGAGAGTATTTTGCCTCTTCGTAGCTTTGAAATAAGGAGTAATAGTTTTTAAGTATTGTAGAAATTTCTGATTCACTTGACATTTCAAAATTTTTAATTTTAAATAATTATTTTACCCTTTCCGTGGCATTTGAGAACCCTTGCTTGTATTTTTACTAGCAACTTTTAAAAATGATTGTTAATTTGCTTCGTGAGGTTTACAAAAGAAAATATATTTTTTAAATTTCAGGATTTGTAATTTAAATTTTTTTACATCCGTTGATAATGCTCTTTCCGTTTTCTTCGCTTGCCTGAATGACTATTTATTTTTATAATACATTCTAAGGTTAGGATTAAAAAATATCGATATGATACATTTCATGGACATTTTTTCGTAAATATTGTTTATACAACAATTGCTCAAAAATAGTATCGATTTACTGATATTTTCGATATTTGAGATATAAACACTGAAAGAACAATAGCGAAACCTTATATTCTAAGAAGAAATCATTAAAATTATATTGCCAAAGACCTTTTTAAAAAAGAAATTTCATTTATTTAGTTAACTTCTGTATAAGTTACTATTAACTTATAATAAAAAATCTCAGATTTAATCTCAGTCTGATGAAAGTCGTATATATCAATCCTGTCCTGCTTAATCACCAAAGATCAGTTGAGTTTTGAGCAACGATCAGCTACAATGAGCAACGATAAATTTTTATTTTGGCTATAATTTCCGTGCCTTTTTTTTGAATTTTGCTGTAAAGTCTAAGGCAATTTTAGAGTGTCAAACTTTATCACAGGTTTAATCTTAGATTTTGTCACATATGTAAGCAGTACCTTAGGAGAAATTGTATGTATAAAAACAAAATGATCAGTAATTTGAAAAAAATTAAATTATAACAAAAAAACTCAATGAAAAGTGGAGACGAAATTTTAAATTTTAATGTTCTTACGCTGATATATAACGGAAAGTGAAGTATTTTATTTATCACAGAGGAAAAGTAATTTTAATATACATACATCAATAAATATCGGCACAAAAAATATTAGTATCAGTATAAATGTTATGAAAAATTTATTGATACAAATCGATATTGTCACGTTAGCCCCAGCATTCATAAATATTTTTTGCTTCAGAACGGATTACGAATAAAATTGCGCGTTTTAATTTTTGTTTTAATACTTTTTTTTATGAGTGACAGTCAAGTGTTAACCGGCTAAATAACAACAATTGCAGAAGCATATTTCATAATCCATATTAACAAAATTTCTAAATGTGATACCAAATAAAATGAAAACGCTTACTATACAGATTAGTTTGCTATTTGTATAAAATTTGTAAGTACATATAACATATTATTTTTGATAGTTATGTAGAAAATAGAATGATGAAATATTCGACACCTTAAACTTTATCCAATTTAATTATGGTTTGTTGTTTGAGGAATATTACAAAATAGACTCTTCCAAAAATTCTATCACTCATTTCAATCTTGGGTTATAAATATGAAATTAGTTTATATCCTGTAAAGGCGATGAGACATCATTTCAAATGATTTGACTAATTTTTTTTGTTGCAGTTTAGAAAAAGTTTTTAATTCATTATACATTCAAAATTTCTGAATTGATAAAAAATTTTTGGACAAAATTGTGATATTCTTAGACAATCTGTAGTTATTTTGAAGAAACTTTAGTAATCTGATTCTTTTTAAAATTTGATTCACAAAAATTTAATTTATGCTTTCGCTGATATGTAATTTAATTTTAGGGAATACTCTTTATGTGGTTTAACATTTTCAGTGAAATAATAAAAAAAAATATTAACCAATTAATAGCTTGTTATTGACAGAAGATGAAACGAAAATAGCTTCAGCAAAGCATTGCTTATGGATGAGCTTATGGAATAAAATTACTAATAGAAAGCATGACTATAATCATTTTAATATAGTATGTACATGTACGCAGCTACATAAAATTGATCTCAAAAATACTTCAAAATTTAGTTCGACGAGGTAATTAATATATATTAACCTAATATATTTTATAATATGTATACTATCAAACATTGTCCATATTGACTTTACATATGTATATTATTTGGGTATAATTTAAACTTTAAATGATTGTAAGTACAGAAACGATTAAAATAAATAAATTACTATAAAAATTTGGTATATAGTGCAATTTGAGTTTAATAAAGTTAAAATATACAATATTTACCTAATAATAATTTTATGAAATTACCTAATAATAATTAGGTAAATATTCAATATTTACCTAAAAATTGCTCTAAAATGCATATATACAAAGAATGTTTAAAATTATAAAAACTTATAATTATTCGAAAGTTTTAATTAATTTGTTGGTAAACATATTAGACTAGTGGGCAATAGACTTACTAGATTAATAGACTGGCAGCAAAGTTGGTCTTTCTTTTTCTCTCTAATTATATTTATATCTACTGTCTACCTATTTTAGATGTTTTTGACAACACATTATTTAGTAAAATAAATCAAAATTTAGCTTAATACATAGGTTCCCATATTATTTTGGAATTTTTATTTTAAAACTCAAATTTTTATTTTTGATAATCAACATTTTGTTTTTTTAAATTGCCAAGAGATATTCACTTTTTTGCCTCTTCTATAAACTAAATTCTCAAAAATGGAAAACGAACTATATCTTATAGAAATGGATGGAACATATTTTACAAGAGATAATATTCAAGTACACACTATTTACTTTGAAAACATTCCAGATAAAAATGTAATTTTTAAATTTATAATCAAATATATGAAAATTATTTAAAATACATACATAAATATTCTACATTGTATATATATGTTTAGAATGTCATCCATGAATTGGAAGAATACTTTTCGAAATATGGTAAATTAAGTAAAATAGAAATTGAAAAACGTTACAAAAATTTTTCTAACGACTTGAGAATAAGTGGAATTGTTCAATATGAAACACCAGAATCAGCTTATAGGTACCTACATAATTGTTTTCTCCTGAACACCAAAGATATTGTTAAGCAAAATTACATTTTATTTCATAAAACTTTAATCTAGGGCATTAAAAGAAGAACAAAATAATAACTTTACTGTGTTACCGGCCGACAGCTGGATCCAACCTACATTTTTAACTAAAAAACCTGGAGTAGATGATGAAGCAGAAAATTATTGCAGTTTAGTAGATTTGGGTGAAGACTTGTTAATGCTTATATATTCTGAATTAACATTTCGTGATATTATTACATTGTTTTCTATATTTCCTAATCTAAGACCAAGCATAAGGCGATATTATAAACGAGTAAAATCTATTAAATTGAATTATAATGAAATAAGTAACTTAACTTTGCTGGAAATTCGCCAATTTTTAATTGAAATAGCAGGTGTCATCGAAGATTTAGAGATTTTAGATTGGAATTATAATGTTAAAAGTATACGTTTAATAAATTTTGCCTTACATTTTTGCAATGTGAGATCGCTTCATATTTCTTCAATATCATTTAAAGATAAGGATTTCAGTGCTAGAATCCGACAAAAATTTACAAAATTAGAGAAACTGAGGCTAGTTGATTGTCGAATAAGTGATGAAGATGTTCAAAATTTGTGCGAGTTAAATTTGACAACCCTTGATTTATCCGGAACAAATAATTCTTTCGTTGGCAATTATCTACATAAATTCGGCAAATTGAAGGAATTAAGTTTGGAAAATTGCGAAGACCTGTCTCCAGACAACTTGGAAAAAATGAATTTTAAAAATTTAGAAGTATTAAATATCTGTGGATGTGTTTTTGTTAACAATACGTTTAAGGTTATTGCTGAAAACGCTCATAATCTTAAATCTTTAAAAATATCAATTTCAAAATTAGAAAACAATCAGTTTGAAAATTTTGTAGGGCAAATCAAAAGCCTAGAAAAATTAATTATTGTCAACTCTTCAAGAACTGGTTGTACAGGATTTTATATTGATATATCTAACATGAATAATCGTATAAAAAAACTAGCCGAATCAGAATTTTTGCAAAGAAATCTACATCTCTTGCATTTAATTGATTTCAAAATAAGCGATGACTCATTCGAACATCTTGCAAAATTGAAAAATTTATGTGAAATAATGATTTGTTTTTCACATGAAGAAAATGTCTCTCAAGAATTTTGGAAACTTTTGTGTTCTTTAAAAAAACTGAAAGTATTAGCAATGAAAATGGATGGATTTAAATCTTTTGAATCTAGCTTTATGATTAAACTGATTGAATACATAAGTAAGAATAGGAATCGGGGATTTACTCTAATAGCAGAAATAAGCAAATCAGTTTATCGGGATATCTTAAAGGTATGATTTATATTAATTCAACAATAACAAAACAAGTTTTTATTGTTTTTCTTTTTAGAGTTCAGTTTACCTTCAATATAAGGATATTATAAAACTTGTGCCTTTCTATTTTACGCAACCATATTCGCATCATGCTCTAAGTGAAAATTGAAAGAATTTTATTATATTTAATTCCATGTGTAATTGGGGATCATGCTAATAAGCTAAAATTTTTATGATTTCGATCTTATCGCATTTTATAGTTGCATTTATTTATGATGTGTTGTATTTATTAGTACATAACTATATATTTTTAACTATTTAATAAAAAAAGAAAAGATAAACAAGTGTAGCAATCAATATCACAAGCGACTTTATTGTAAATTATTTTATTTTCAAAGAAAATTAAGTACATACATAAATATAAGTTTTTAAAAAGTACAATTTGGACTAGAACTTGCTTTAATTATTAAAAATTTAAACATATTTTTATTTGCACATAAATAAATGTAAAAGCTATACATTCAATGAGGTTTTATAATTTTAATTTTTTGATTGGAATGTCTTTATTTGCTCCAACGAATAAGGAAAGCCTATTGAAATTATCAATTTTACTTAACTGGAAATTAAAACGAAAAGTATTAATTTAATTAAGTGTTAAAAATTTTTGTTGCATTTTAACGTTCTGCTTAAATAATGGTGTAAAAATTGTATTAGATGCAGAAATGTATTATTGAATGTATTTTAAATGAATTGTAATAAAGAAATGTATTGTAAATTTTTATTTACAAATTTTATTTCCATAGTAGTCAATCGGCTATTCGTTCAGCTTTTAGTGACTATTGTGTATGTATATGCATTAGTAAATTCTGGTTGTACCCAAGGAAAGCATCATGACAAATGAACATTCATTGAATATATCTATCTATCTATTTGGTAAGAACGTAAAATGCATTACGTTGTTTCTTTATACACAGTAAGTTAAAATTTAAGAAAATTTTTATGACGATATATGTAAAAGAAATACATGCTCATATTCATCTTCTAGGGCGATAAAGATACAATTGTTTTATTAAACAGATGAAAAACTGATCTTGTGGGGAGCTATCGCCAAAATTTATACTAAATGCACACGTCCTAATTAAAGTTAGCGAAGTATCCATAAAACTATGTAGTAAAATAAAATTTCATTTTTATTTTCCAAAATTTTAAATACTTTATGTTCTTGGTGTAAACATAGGAACTTTACATTGTATATTATAAATTTTGATATAATACTAAATTTGTAGTAATTTAAATGAAATATCCAAAATATTTTTTATGCTTTTGGAAAATTGATTTTTAAATTGTTTCTCTCAAACATTTTGTGCTACTTTTTAAAATTTGAATTTTGCGGCTAATACAAGTGACACCATTATTTTTTATTATTAAATATTTTTGATTAATACGATCTAATTTATGTTTTTTATGAACTGATTATGTAAAACTATATTAATCAAAAATTATAATTCTTCAAATATTTAAACAACCATTACTAAGAAATGATTTACGTTTCAAAAGATTAACAAATAATTTTCTTATTTCTCCCTAAATTTAATATTGTAATACACTGTTTTTTTTTATTGTTTTACTTAATTTTTCAAAAATGATAGCAAATTATGTTTTGATTTTTCTTCCTAATCGAGTTTTTGAATATCTTGAACTTGATCTATTTGCTCCATTCTGTCTAAGATTCCCATTTTGTTTTGAATTACTTTCAAATAAAACATCAGAATCTGTTTCTGAATCAGTTAAGGACGTGCCTCGATGATCTGTGAAATAAATTACAATTTTTTCTTAATTTTTTTTCTAAATTATTATACTAATTATTGTAAAATATAAGTACATATGCATGTATATCATGTATGTATACCCCCCTTATTCAAAAGTGAAAAAGTATATACAAAAATAATAATTATGAGCAAAAAATTTGGATATTATTAAAGGTATAATTTACCTTTGTACTTACATGAAGGCAATTCATCTTCTTGGGTCACAAGGGGTGCATATTTTTGTTTTTTTGGACGTGTACGTTTTTTCTTCGTTCGTTGTCTTTGTTTCCTGCAAAAGCATAATAAACTCCAAAAGAAGCCTGATAACATTAAAAATCCTACAAACAGCCCAATAACGACGTATAGAATTGACCAATCTGAAAATAGTGTAAATTTGACTAGAATATGTAAAAAAATTATATCTATTTTATGTTTTTTTATATACTAGTACTCTAATGATTATGTTCTAATTCTTATTCAACATTCTCAACTCTTAAATTTTACATTTTTTGAAGAAACTGGGTTTGTATAAGCAAATATTAAAAAAATTATTTTTAAATTAAAAATCGGGCATAAAATAAAACAGTAAGTTATAAAAAATGGACACAATTTAAATTATATTCATACCACAATTGCCTTCATCTACGCCCCAATAATAGAAAATAGATGGCATCCAAAATGATTCACATTGGCAAGCTCGTGTAATGGTATTACATAATCCATGTCCTGAACAATTGTTTTGGCAAATCACGGTTCGTGCGTCAGTAAATGGTATACCAAGAATTGAATCATCACGTAGAAATTTATCTTTTAAAATTTTTTCTACTTCATATCCAGATACAATTTCCGTCTTTCCATTCGAATGCTAAAAATTTTGAAAAAATATAAATTGCTTTCGCATATAATATGGTTACAATATAATTGAAGCTTACAATTTTTTCCACATAAAATTCTAAAACTGCTGTTCCAGATTTCGTATCTTCTTTAAGGGCTCTAACATGAACTTTTACTTCACCGATCAATAATACAATTTTTTGCACTATAGCATCAAATTCAGATTTAGTTAACAAAGCGTAATCAATCGATAGATATAATTCAACTAAGTTTAATATCATAGGATCTTGTTTGACAACAATATTGACTGTTTGCGAATTTGAAAGTCCTTGATCATCAAATACTGTAAGTGTGAATACATATCGACCGGCGACAATATTTGTTAACTGAAATTGCACGAAATAAAAAAAAATCAAATATCTACATAAATAGCTACATATCCTTAATTTTTATATCAGTTTCTTAATTTTTTTCCATCATTTTAATTAATTTTTAAAAATAAATTTCATAAATTTTTACACAATTGAATGAATAATACCTGTGTTTATACAAATTTAATGGTTTCCAAAAATCGTTTTTGCATCAATGGTTGACATACGTTTTATTGTTGATACCCATAGGCTTCAGGTGAAAGAAAATGAAACATATGTCAAACATTGACGGCAAAATCGGTGCGTAAACACAGCGATTAATTTTTTAACTAATAACTATTCAATAATCACATTTCTGTTCATTTTACGAATTTCTTAAATTTTGACATTTCTTAAGAGTGTTACCAAACATGATTAGAATATTATTTTTTTCATAAATATTAGTATGCCACATTCCTACTTTAAACTCTTCATACAAGGATAAGTCGAACTTTTTTAAGTATTGCACATTATATAATACAAAACTGTAACTCAAGAAATTATTTACCATTAGAATAGGTTCGTGATCAGTGGTTCCAATGATTTTTCCAGCTATTAAACTATTATCATCTCTTGTCCACAAGTATTTTGTAATTTTCAAATCGTCTGAAGATTTGCTACCATTTAAATATATTGTATTTATTGGCAATCTTAAAGTTTGATTTCCGCCCGCATCAGCTTTAGGTGCTGCATTTTTTTCTAAAATTCAATTCGTATTTTTTTAACTTAAAGTTCATATATAAATTTCTTAAAGCAGACCTTGAACTACAGTCACAAATACTGAATCTGAAGCACTGTTATTGTTTTCATCCGTAACTAAAAGTTCAAACTCATACAGGCCAATGGTTAAAGATGTTGCGTTAGCCACCTTTCAAAGTTAAAAAAAATTAAAAGGAGTTTTTTATTTTTTATGTAAATCTATATAAATCAAAAAAATATTTACAGAATTATTTGCATTTTCTATAACAGCTTCATTTGGTCCAGACTTTTGGTTCCACTTAAAAATAGTAATTTTTATATCATCTGTTGACGCAGAACCATTTAAAGTAGCCCACGTCTGCGGTAAATTAATGGTCTGAAAAAAAAAAGTTCACAGTGAACATGGCAGTCGATTCAATCAGATTAATTTTTTACATAAAAATATCGATCACAATAATATCTATGTCGAAATAAAAGTAATTCAGTAGTTTGCAATTGTATTTTCCATATTTTTCTGCATATAAATCAAATTTGAGGGAGTAAAAAAAATGAGCTAAAATCAAATTTGAGGGAGTAAGAAAAAAATAATTAATTCAAAATTAAATGTTTTCACAAATATTTGCAAATGAGTCATTAGTCAAGGATTAAGCTCAAGGATTAAGAAAAGTGAAAGCCGAAAAGACCACACCCTTTTGCCAAAGCAATTTCGTCATGCCGACATGTACTCACACGTGCTTTTATTGCGTTTTCAGTCAATATGTTTAAATGAATTCGGAACAGCACAGTAGCAAGCATAAATAATTTTTGTGTGTCATTTAACCGTATGATTGACTTTTATCTTCATGTCTGTTTACAAATGGTATATACATACATACGTACATATATATAAAAAGAGTAAACATAACCTAACTATATGTTTACTATAACTATATTTACTATAACTACTAACTATAACGTAACTATATTTTTCAATTTTATTCGGAGAAAATTAAGATTCCGCTTTCTCAAAATGTTTGGCAAACTAAGATTACTTTACAATATTACTAGTGCTAATCCTTGCTCACGTAAAATATGTGCAACAAATGCTAATTTGTATCCAAGAAATTTAAAAAATTTAAAGAATAAAATTGAAAATGAAAGGGAGGATGCAAATACAATATCGCGGATTGAAAATGAAATTGAAACTTTAAATGAAGTGGAAGCGAATTTATTTGAAAATTCAAAAAATATGTATAAACCTGTAAAAATGCAAGAAATTCCCTCTTATAAATATAAAAAGGATCATAGCAAAAAAAAAGATCAAAGAGTTGCAGAGACGGTTCAAAAAGTCACAAAAAAACAGAGTTCATCAAGGGTAGTGGAAGATGTAAAGCTTGGTTTAGCTTACACTAGATTAGAGTTGAATCACCCTCTGTTAAATAAAATTTTTATGACTGTGCGATCCAAAAAGCATCGAGACAAAAAAGAATTGATTTTGATAGAAGGTCGACGTTTATTTTTAGAAGCTATAGAATGTGGTCTTAGCTTACAAACCGTTTTGTTCAGTCAAAAAGAGCAAATCGCATTACTGGGAAATGATATAATAAAAAAAATTTCAAAAGTTGGTGAAATTTATAAAGTTCCGCAACATGATTTAAAAACTTGGTCAGCGTTAACAACTCCTCCAGGTATAATAGGTATATTTAACCGGCCGACTGACCAAACTATTACTTCGAATTTGGAAAATAAATATATTAGAAAAGTGAAACACCTTCCCATTACAATCATCTGCGATAACATAAGAGAACCAAGCAATTTAGGAAGCATAATTCGAACAGCTGCTGCTCTACCTTGTTTAGAAGTTATAATTTTAAAAGGCTGTTGTGATCCGTGGGAATCAAAAGCTTTGCGTGGTGGTTGTGGGGGACAATTCAGAATTTCTTTAAAGTATGGTATGACATGGGAAAATTACGTTAAAGAGATACCAAAAGCTGCTAATATTTTTATATCGGAAAACAATTTAGCTAGGGTTCATGAATTTGGCTTCGATAAAAAAATACAAATTTATTCTGAAATGCAAACAAAAGAAGATAGCTACTTTTTTTTCGTAATCGGTGGGGAAACTCATGGTGTTAGCGACGATGTTTATAAGTAGTACCCGATTTTTAGTAAAATATTACTACGAGATTTATTTTCCTTTTTTTTGTTTTCAGTTCAATATCGGAAAACAATTTAAATGCAGTTTTTTTGCATATTCCTCTAGCAAATGAAATTGATAGCTTAAATGCAAGCTCAGCATTGACTTTGTTATTATTTGAAGCGAGAAGGAAATATTTACAAAATTTAAGTACTAGAGTAGATCAGGAAGAATTAGATATTTTAGAAAAAATACATGAGTAACACAAATAATCTTTACACTTACTAAATTTGTTCCAGCTTGCGCATGCGGAGGTAGATTTGTTGGTGGTTTTACAAATACATGAACCTTTGCGGAACTGGTCTGGTTACTTGCATCTGTAACTTTTAGTATGAAGGTGTAAATCCCTTCTTCCAAATTTGATAACTGTAATAAAAGTATTTGGAAAAATTTTTACATGTATTTTAATTTAGTATTATAAATAGTACTTGAAGAAAAGGTGTTCGAGTGTTTTGCATATCAACGGCTTTTCCTTCCTCTTCTGTCGTGTCTTTTGTCCACTCCCATGCAACAATTTCTTTATCATCAGTGCTTAATGACCCGTTCAAAGTTACATTGTTATGTGGTAAATACAATATGATATCAGTTCCAGCATTTGCTTCAGGAGGATAATCAGTTGTTTTTACAACAGTTATATTTGCGGTGGTGGAATTTTGAATATTATCAGAGTCTGTAATAGTTAATTTAAAAGTATAATTTCCTGGCATTTCCAAATCAGTAAGTTGTAAAGTGCTTGTGTCAGGTAATTTAGGTTGATATCCTATCGGGCCCTGTATTAATTCCCAATGAAATGCAACAATTTTATCATCATCGGTACTTGTGCTTCCATCCAAGATAGCTTCATTGTTCGGAAGCTTTATTGTTTGTTCTTTGGGAGTTATTATAACTTCCGGAGCCTTGTTTATCCTTTTTTCAGGTAACACTGTAACATTAGCTATAGCTTCTCCATAACTTTGATTGCCTGTCACAGTCACTTTAAATGTGTAAAGCCCTTCTGATAAATTAGAGAGATTTACTTTGTCTTTTGATTGGTCAGAAATAGTGCCGTTAACCGCCCCGCTAGGTTGAGATATTAACGTCCACGAATATTTATAAGTTTCATCAGTGGATTTATCACTTGGATAAATAAACGCAGCTAAGGTCACCTCTTTTTCTGGTAACTGAACAACTTTCGAATCAGCTTTTATTAAAAGTTCTTTAATGCTAGGTTTTGCAGTGACCACCTCTTCATTCAGTTTTTCTTCATTTTCCGAATTTTCAGAAAATGGTCCAACTAAAAGTGTAGCCACATTATAATTTTAAATATTTTAATTTATGTTTTATACCAACCTATATTTGGGTTTTGTTTGATGCTGGCTAAAAAGTTTTCTACTGCAGAAAAATCTAAGTTTAATTTTATACATTTTCCATGTTTATTTCTGTGATACCCTTCAATACAATTACATACACCCTTCTCTGTATTAGAAGGAATTTTAACACATTCTTCATTTATAGGGCAAACTCTATTCAACGATATTAATGCACAAGGTTTCGAGTTTAATGTATCTAAGAAAGATGGATCTTCAGGAAGATCTTCCCCTTCATCTACAAAATGTTGTTCTGTTCCATAGCTATCACTTTCATCTTCAAGCGGCAGTTTTCGAGATCCAAAAATAGCCGTTCTTAATCGAGATTCTGGATTTGCGATATCCTCATAATTTGGAATTCCGTCATCACTTAATCGTATTTTATGACTTTTTTTCCAGAAGTTTATTTTATCTAGCGTGTTGATTCCTGGAGGCAGGAAATACTCTACATTTTCTGTTTTAAGTATATCAATCCAGGAAAAACCATTATTTTCATTATCAACCGGGTTCACCAAAACCATTTCCAAACGTCTTTTCAAATTAGATCTTCTTTTAGGTAAACAAAGCTTGTTTGAATTGCATTTAACATGATAGCAATTCTTTTCAAAGATAAATGCAACATTGCAATCCTTTTTTTTCAAGCAACATTTTTCTACGCATGGAATCAATTCAGTTACATCTTTTTCCTGCGTGAAATTTCCAGATTTTTGATCTCCAATAGGGGCGGATTGATCAAAAGTTTGAGCAAATATATTAGGGCATATTTGGCTTAAATCAATACGATTATCATTTTGTTGTTTTACTAAGTTATCTTGCCGTATATTCGGCACATTTTGAGTGATGATACTCGGACTCAAAATAGTTGTAGACTGCTCTGATGGTGTTAAGAGGAATATTAAAATTCCAAATATTTTAAATTTGAATATGAATTTCATATCCATTATGTATATGCAATCAGCTCAGATCTCATCAAAAAGTGTTTCCAATAGTTTTAATTAATTCCTAAACTTATTCCAAATTTAATTAATTCCAAGAACTAGTGATTCAAATGTACTATATTTAATTTATAGAGAACAAAATCTTTCATTTTATACAATAAATTTATAACTTCGTACTATGGTTTGAGAAATGTTTGCAAATATATTATTTAATGATATTATAAATAATATTTGAATTCAAGAAATCTCCAAAATATAAACACTAAACTTACTTTTTAAGGAAACTTGGATACTCATTTTTTAACAACCAGTTGTCAAGTTATAAAACAGCTGATTGAAAACGATATAAATTTTAATGCTTGTATCGATAAAAATTTTAAGTGTTCACAAATCAGAATAGAACCCAGTGAACAAATCTTGCAGGAATCTTGAATTGAATACCTTGATTAATGCTGACGTACAACCGATAGTTTATATACACTTCTTCAAATTAATGTAAACTCAGCGTATTAAATGCATTATGAAAGAGTTTATATACACTTCTTCAAATTAATGTAAACTCAGCGTATTAAATGCATTATGAAAGTTGTAGAAGTGTATACACACCGTATCTGTCTGAGTCTTATTATAGGAGTCTCTAAATTATACCTTAATTTACTTTTATATAGATGTTTGTAGTTGATTTCAATCAATACATATTTTCTTATTTATATACACAAATTTAATTAATTTTAAACACTATATTATTTTTTAATAATTAAAAATTTTATAAAACAATTAAAAAAACTAACTTGAAACTAAATTAACAATGAAAACTACTTTAAAATGACTTGATTATAGAAGTAATTTATTGTTGAAACGAAACGTCTGACACAATTCTTATTCCACAAGTTTTGAGTTTTGTATGTACATATGTATATGTTATTGAAAAATTTGTTATAAATGTTGGCCTTTTCTAAAAGTCCAGTAACCCAGAAATATTTTAAATAAAAATAAAGAGATATAATTATAAAAGATTGGGTAATGTAGGTGTTAAATTACTGCAAATAGCACAACTTAATTTATTTTTTTGCCAGAATTAATATAAAAACCTCACCTTAATTTCTTTCAATTTCAAGAAATGTAATATGTTGATATATTACATACTTACATACTTACAAGCATACATTCATATATGTGTACATACATACATATTTTATGACAATGAGTTAAAAAATAAGAAAACTTTTATTTGCATTGACCAATGCAAATAAAAGACATAATGCAGAGTTTGTGCAATTGTACATACATTCATACATACATACACAATATTATATAAATATTTGTTTAATAAATGCATTATTAATTATTTATCATTCTCATACATATTCCTAATACATATATATGTATATGAGAATAATAGAATGTGTGTAGGTGGTTATTTTTATTATTTTCAAAAACAATAACTCTTTTCCTTTCCTAATATTTTAAATTTTTAATTTAAAATATGTATGTCGGACATGATTACTTAAAACAAGGAAAATAGAAACAAAATTGACATTCAATTTGATTTCAAATATTTGGATATAATGTACATAAGTACATATGTACATACATACATACATATACTATATGTGCCTGGATAAGTATGAATTTACGGAATTTGAAATGTGATTTCATTAAGAAAAAAAAAGTTTCATTAACATGATATGAGATACATATATTTAGCACAAGTTTAGAACAATTTATTATATTAATAATAAAGAAGAATTGTAAAATATTTATTTTGTATAATTTTAAAATTTAAATTTATCTTTACAGTTAATGCAACAACTAATTTTTGAATTTAAAATTGCAACAATTCAGCTTATAAGTTGTATAATAACTGTAAATTGAATACTAATGTGGTACAACTACAATTTTTAATTCACGTAATTTAAAGTAAGTAATTAACAATTACTGGCTCATTATTATATATTTAAGATTGATGGAAAACAAAAATTTTGAAAGATGAATAGAGTATAGAGTTTTCAATACGGTGACTAGTCTGCTGTAGTTTTTTTATTTATGTTCGAATCTGAGACCCTTCATCGGTTAGAGGACCGATGCATTATCGGTCAAATTGTCATATTTTACACGTTTTATATTTTATTTTAAACATAATTGTAAAAATCCTGTAGAACTAAAATAACTTATTAATACACAATAAGATAGTTTTTCTTTTATAGCTTAAAGTGAGAGACTATATTAATTACATTGAATTCATAATTTTTTTTATATTGAAAACAGTTTTTCCGTCATTTTAATATTAAAGTTCTAAAGAGGCATAAAAATTTTCATAAATACATACTTATACTTATGTATGTACATAATATAATTTTTTTATTTTCGATATTTCCTTATAAGAAATAATTTAATTATTATATAATATAATTATTTAAATCAGATATATACACTTACAAACTCGTTTATAAACATATCAATAATTTATTCTGTGTGTTAATTTATATCAAATGATAACAATATAACATAATAATTTTATAATCCAGTAAAAATAAATTCATATTTTGGCACCTTATTCATTATAGAAACCTTCGAGTGCAATTTGTTTCTTTGTTTTCGATCAAGGTTATTGTAGTTGAATTAATATTGAAAAGAAATGGAAAATATTTAGTTTTGGAACTCCCCCAAAATCTGAAAAATATATATATCAAGTATGTATGTATGTATATATGTGCGCATATACATATGTACAACAATAAGAATAAATTGGTAATCTTTTGACAAAATCTCAGTTGGCATTTAAAAACCCTCTGGACATTTTTTTTCAACGATATAAATTAATAATATTGGAAATTATAATAATATAATAATAATCTTTTGATAAAATCAAAATGTACACATTAAAAATAATTTTAAATTAGTGATTTGTTTCTTTTTATGTATATTGTTCATATTAAATTTATTGTATCATTTAACAGAATACATATAACATTTTTTTGCTACATTAAAAATATTAAAAATTATTTTAATTTCCAAGTGTATGTATGTCTATATTCCATGTACATATGTGTGTATATATTTATATAAAATTAGATCGAGATCATACAAGGAAGTTATGAGTAAAAACTTTTGCGCATTGTCTAGAAATCTAATTATTAATATTAATTTCGATTAATTTTATAAATTGAAATTATTATTAATTCGTTCAGTCAAAATATGTAATTAATTTCTTTATTATATTATTCAAAACAATTTTAATATTTTATTGGTGTATGTACATTTATAGTATGTATGCACATATGTACGTATGTATGTACATCCAATTCTTTGATCAATTTGAATTCTTTAAATTTGGTTTATATCAATTTAACGTAGCCTTATTATTTTTGTTACGGAAATTTTAAAATAAATACATATCTAAACAAAAAAATCCTCTAAGATCGGGATTGTCATAATATTATTTAACGTATATTAATGCAAAATTCAGCTTATAAACGCCAACCGTTGAATGGTGTATCGATACGGTATTGCGTTAAACATCGTAAGTGTATACACAATATTTTACTCCGTTATTTAAAAAATACCCATAAATTTCAATAAGAAATTACTTTTTATACGGATTTATAATAAAAATCGAAAATTGCGGTGGTCTGATTATGCATGAATTAAATAATTTGTATGTGTAGTTTTATTTTTTTTTGTGACAAATATGATGTTAATCGAAACCAATTGTGTTTTAAAAGGAATTTGTTATAAATAATTTTTAAAAATTAAATTATTATAGTTTAAAGAAAAACGAAAAAGATTAAAACTCAAACAATTTGATTTGTCATGATTAAAATTAAGATTAAATTAATCAATAATCCTGGTATACAAGAACATGAACTTGGAACAGTTTTATAATTTTTTAATTTAATAATCTTGTATATCTATTTGCCGCTAAACATATATATATATATATATATATTATATGTTATATTTTGTGTAGTGTTGCGTTACATACCTTTAAATGGAATGCAAAAATTATTATGATAAGTATATTTAATTTAAACTAATTATTTTTTATTTATTATTTTCTTAATAATAAATAAAAAATAATAAATTTATTATTTTAAAATGATTAAGAAAATAATACAAAAGAATTTCCGTTCACCGTTTTTATCTAGAGTAAATTTTGCCAAGAGCAAGGTTACCATGTAGAATTTTTTAAATTTTATTATAAGATAGTTTTTAATAATAAAAATTCCTTAGCTTTTATTTTAATAGACAGTCCTGCTTTATTCTTAAAATAATTTTATACATATATTTATGTATAACATATGTTATAAATAAAAATCGAAAAAGTACAATATGTAAAATTTATTAAGGTGATTTTTATGTTTCAACTCTATGTTAAAGTAAGTAGTACATTATGACCTTTGTTAAAATTAATGAAAAAATAAGTACTTTAAAAATTACTTATACATTATAATTACTCATATGTCATGCAAATAAAGTCAAATTAATTGTATATACCTACGTGCATATGTATGTAAATATATATTTGGTTTAGGACTATAACAGAAATCTGTTTTGTTTTTTAAATTGTACATTATGAAACTTTAATAATAAGTGATTAAATAAAGGTTATGTCAATTCTAAAAACTATTCAGAGTATAATGACTTTATACATATAAAGTGAGGCACTTATAAATTGAATAACAGCAAAAGAGATGAGTTAAAGGATCTAATTGGCTTTACGTTTAACTTTTTAATAATGAGGACGAGAGGGAATCATGGCCCAAAAAGCTATTGCTTAAAGTTACAGATGAAGGTTTTTTTAGTTTTAGAATAATATTTGTAAAACAAATTAATAAAAATTTATTTTAAACTATAATAAAAATAAAGTTAAATATAAATACAAAAATTAACTTTACAAAAAATTATTGTTTTAAACTGTTATGAAAAAATGTTATATCTATAAATGATATATAAGTGACTTATATATCTATAAGTAACAAAGAGATTATTTACGCAATTTAATCGACTTTGAGTTGAGCTTTAGAAAATTCGTGATTATTTGCACTTCTATAGTACCAATATATTGATGAATAGATATGTAAAAAGAGTAAGAATTTTAGAAAAATAGACTCGCCATATCGCTTTGTGTGGGAAATACGATCGATTTTTTATTAAACAATTTAATCTATCAGAATTCTTGTTTTTGTTTAATATCAATAGGGACTCAAATGCTTTGCTCATAGGTAAAACTTTATTCATCTGCAATGTTCACTCCTCCCTTCCAAGTAACATATGGTTTTTCAAAGTTGATAAAATAGAAGAGTTCTGCGAGTTAATGTGTAAAATTGAAGGCAATTTGTGAAGTGTGTATAATATTGTTGAATTTAGCTCGATTTTTTGAATTTCTCCAATATGAAAACTCAGCTTAATGGAAAATTGTTAATGTTTGCAGATATTGAGATATGTTTTTGTAACTAAATACATAATACATATGACAAGTTTTTAAAGCTTCAAAATAATTTCGAAGCTTTCAAAGTTTAAATAAATTCGTAAGGAATTTTGGTTGAGAGCTGCAGATCGATGTAAAATTAATATTTCAATTTTCAAGCTTATAGGAAACTTAATTTAATATTAAATTAGTTTAAAATTAATATTAAATTATATTCGTAACTATAAATTTTTTTTTAAATATAAATTGACAACAATAAGGGTTTAAAAAAAATATATGGAAATCGTTGATTATATATAAAGAGCTTTTTCATTGTGTTTTTAATCAAAGTCTCAAGTTAGGCTCTACTAACGTACAAAGTGTTGCACGTTAGAACACTAAGATTTACGTAACATTTTACGTAAATCACATTTTATAATTTGAAAAATTAGCATACTTATGTATTCAAGACGAGAACGGAGAAGGCATGATTTTAACTTATATAATATATATATAAGTCAATATTTTACTAAATATAATAAATACTATACATATATATGTATACATATCGTTTTTATTTAATAAAATGCATAGCTTTTAACATAATTTAGTTATTATTAAAAATGCTTATATTAGAAATAAGTATACGGTTTTTCAATTTAAAATAAATACTTAAAAACCATATTTTAAAAATTCTAGTAACATTATAAGAACTATGTGTACAGAAGTGAGAATTTATATATAAATTTTAGAACTAAAGCTCTAAACCTAAACTTATAAAATACTCTATAAAATAACAACAAAACAGATGTCTGTTATAGTCCTAAACAAATTAATATTTACATGTACGCATATACGCATATACATATGTACATTTAATTTGATTTTATTTGTATGACAAATGAGTAAGATAATCACAAATAGAAATCAAGTTAGCAAATGAAATTCTTTTTTAAGAAAAAAAAAAAAGAAAAGCGAAAAACTTTCAACCCTCTCAAATAATAAAGTTTAGTTTGCGTTCGAAAATCGACTTAAAATAAACGAGATGACAAAATCAAATATTTTTTTTATTTATTTATTTTATGTATATATTTGTTGAGGTACCGTTTGATAATTAATTATATTTTATTAATATCGTTATTGCTTCCGGAAAAAAACAAAAAGACGAAAAACTGTCTCAATATGATTTTTAAAATTCTCTCAATATTGTTATTCGCCGCACGTTAAATACAAATAAAAAAATTTAAAACTCTTCAATATTTTAGAGTAAATTTTTATTTTTTTTTCTTGAACTCAAAATGCATTTTGAAAGAATAAAATAAAAAGCAAAAACATAAAAAATATAATAAAATAAATAAAGTGAAACAGCGGCTAACTTGTGAAATGCTGAAATTTATAAAAGAGAGGTAGCAAATATTAAATTTACTCAATTACAGTAAATGTTTTAATAATATTGTAAAAGTGTAATGGGTCGATACGGTTATGGTGGTGATGGCAATAGAATTTTTAAAGTTTTAAAACATGCTCATATATGTATACATATTTGTATATTCTCTTTAATATTTTGTACATATCGTATATATATTACGTGAATGTATGTACATCAAAATAAATAACTTTACTTGTATAATAATAATGATCTTATATAACAATGTAAGTTAAAAAAGTTATAAAATTTTTAAATGCAGAGGTACTCACTATACTATACACTATGATATAATGTTGGAATGGGGCATGTTTTAAGAGAAATAAAATGTATCGTTTTATTATCTTGAATATTATTTTTTCTGGCTGCTTACTACATACATGCATATATACATGTACATATTTAGTTTTAACAACAAATGCGAAACGTTCATAAAACGCTCGCTTTACATTTTATTTTTTCTACTCACACGTTTTTTTTTTCGCTTTTCATTTTTATTTTTACTCTGTGTTTCTTAAGTTTTGCATTCCATGTTCGCAGTAAAACATAAAAATAAAATTAAAAAAAGTTAATAAAAATTTTAAATAAAAAAAATATTTCAGTTTAATTCAGTCTTGTTGAATTATTAGCCAGGTTAAGACGCGAAATCGAGGAATATAATTAAAATATATCTAGCTCGAAAAAAAATTGTTTTACTTTTGCACAAAAGAAAACAAAAAGCAAAAAAAAAATTAAAATTAAAAATCAAACAAATTTTCGCCTAAAAATCATATGTTGCTGGTGGTGCTTTATTCAAAAATTTTCGCTCTTGTATCAATAAAAAAAAGAATAAATAAACCTGCAAAGTGCTAAGTGCTTTTTAGTTAGAATTTTTTTTGTATAAAAAATAATCTAACAAAAAAAAATTTTGCACTAGTGTTTTGTTTTTCTTATCTTATCTTAGAAATAGCATTTAGAATCGATCTAAAAAAAGAAAAATAAAAATAAAATTATAATCGTTGTTTGTACATTGTAAAACTTTACTTCGTATTTTTATAAATATTAAATAAAAAAAAATTCTCGCACACTTTGCAAATATGAAAAATTCTTGTTAATGAAATATTAATTTTAATTGAAAAGTTTGTAGCAATAACTCAAGTTCACCTCTTAAGTCTTTCAATTGATTCACATATTCATATGTACATAAGTAGTTCTCCGTTATTGAAGCGCGCATTTTTATATTAGTTTTCCTATTGAAATTGTGGTACACTAGTGCGTATATAAAAAACAAAAACGATTTCTGTTGTCAAAATAAGCTTTTTTTTTGAATTCCATAAGTTTGTTTCAAATATTAAAATAAGAATAAAATTCTATCAAAATTTTCAAAATGGATAAATTGTTTTCATATATTATTGAAAAGTAATTTTAAATACAGAAAAAAAAAGAATTAAAATAAAAAATATAATATAAAAATATTTTGTCTATTCAATAATTAATCATATTATAATAAAAATATCAAATTTTTGTTTTTTTAATTTTAAAAATTCGTAATAAAAAATAAATAAAAAAAATGGCTTTAACAAATTTTACACTACCTTTTGGTGGTATATCACATCATTGGTCTGCAACAACAATAGGACCAGCATCATTGCAACAATATCATGCAAGTGCTGTCAACAATTTATTATATGATCCAGCTGACCATCAAGAATCTGATGATCCACCAGAATATTTCAAAAATAATCCATATGCACCACCACAAAATCATCACCATTATAATACTAATAATCACAATAATAATAATAGTGGTCGGCTAAGAAATAGTAAAAGTTATTTACCACCTTTACCATCGTCTCAAACATCAACTCAACGTCATCATAATTCACATTATCAATCACAGCATCATACAACCAATATAGAACAAAAGGATCAACAATTAGGTTATAATACGCGAACTAGAAATAATAACAATCATGAACATAATGTACAACATAATAATAACCATCAGACAAATCATCAGCAACCTGTTCAAATTCCAAAAGGAAATTACTTACCAATTCATCAGCAATCTTCCCAATTGTCATCACAGCAATCACAGCCGTCCCAGCGACATGATAATGATGATAAAACTAATTCATATATTGAGGGTGATACTGATACAATATATGATAATAATAATAATGATCATCAATATAATCATCAACAATATCTTCCGCCATCATCATCATCACCCTCATTGTCATCATCACCAGTATCATCTGTTTCACATAATAATAATCAAGGACAATATTTTAATGGATATAATACGTATACTAGAACATATAGTTCTCACAATATTGGTGTAACTCAACCAACTTTGGCAATTTCAACAAATCAACAATTACCAACTTATTCAAACAATAATTCAGCAGGTGGACGTAATACTCAAAATCTTAATAGAAATAGTAACAATAATTATAATAATGGAAATAACGCAGTCCCAAATCGTGGTGATCCAGTTACAGGATATAAAACAAAAACAAGTAATCAAGGAACTTCCTCTTCATCATCTTCATCGACTTCTAGTTCTGCTGGCGGTTCAGGTACAGAAGTTGATGGTAATGATGAAGATTCATTCCCAGAAAGACCACCTGGTTTTACGAGAGTTCAAGCTGGGCAAGGTAGTAGAACGCAGGTTCATGCTGTGTTAGATTATGATATTGATGAAGGTGATGAAGAGTATTATGATGATAATGATAACGGTGAGTTTTTCTAACATACAATATACTTACATATTTTGTAGTTTATTTTCATTTGAAAAGTATTTTTTTTTGGTTTTGTCGTCAATTTCTGCTTTGTTTTCATTTTATTAGCACTATGCTACTGTCGTTTTAACCTTGCATAGCTTAGAAAATTTTTTAATTCACCTGAGATTTTTGATTTTTAAACTTGAAATAATTGGAAAACCTGGGCTTGTCCAAAAAGAAAAAATTTTAATTATTTTAATTCCAACTTTCAATATTTAATTGACACATGTATATATTTTCATGTGTATGAATGTATATTTTTAAGATTTTCAACTGTGTACGTGTTTTTCGTTTTTCAAGTTAGATGGTCAAACAGTTAACCATCAATAATAATTTTAAATTTTTAATAAAGCATCCATTTAATTAATATTGAGTGGGTTTCTAAATTGGTTCAAATTATATATTTGGTATGCTATTTAAAGCATTTATGAATTTTTAATATTCTTTTTGTTTTTCTGTTAAGCCCTGATTTAAAATTTTTTGTTTTTGTCTATGTTTCTATGTTAAAGGTGACATAACTTACAATCAAAATCATTTTAAATGAATGATTAATAAGTGGTTCAACCATGATTGTTCCATATAAAGAAGAGGAATTAAAAATGAATTACGTTGAATTTTTTGCAAATAATTGACCTTCAAGGGTCTGCTTGGTCATTTTGGGTTTCATATTGTTATATATATAGATTTTTATAGTATTAGTACAATTTTCTAAATTTATTTCTGTTCCTGCAATAAACATTAAAAATGGAAACCAAAATCATTCAAATTTAAATTTTTATGGTGTAGTTCACATATTCTAATTAACTTAAGTAAACAGAGTAAACAGAGTGCTTCTAAACTTGAGAAGTATTAAAAAGCAGTAGAATATTTATATTACTTTTGATTGGTATAGCTACATATGTACTTTTAAAACAAATTCGCTATAATATTTGTTATTTATGTTAATATGACAATTTTACCACAATTGGAAAACAGCAACTTTAATTAGGTCTTTTTTTGTTCTAACCAAGATTATTCCGCTTTTTCAACTATATCAAGTTCCATGCACATTGATTCTGGTAATTTTGATGTTTGTCGTTAACGTTGAATTGCGAACAATATTAATTGATCATCTAATTTAATAACATCGTGGTTTGTGGTTTAAAAATCTTCAAAAGAATTGTTTTCAAAATATCATTTCCTTTTGCACATCCAAATTTTGCTTTGTTTCAAAAAGAAAAAGAAATTAAAAAATTTAAGAAATATTCATCCTTATTTGTGCATGATAAGGGGGCACTATTCCAAAATTACATACATATTTTATTTTTCAATTCGAAATAAAGCAATAAACATATGGCTGAACGAATTTTGAAATTTTGTTTGTTTACTTTTTATATTTGAATATAAAAACTTGACACTTTGACAATTTCAATATAATAAAACCTTCAAAGTTTCAAAAAATCGTCCTGCCGTTGTTAATTTTTAATCTCTACACGAGTGAAATTTATCATAGTATCTTGAAATCTTGGAATATCTACATGTATACAATTAATAGTAGGGCTGATTATCATATGCGTATATAATGTACATATGTATATACATACGTTTTAATAGCTTCCAGGTTTGAAAATTTTTGAGATTGTGTGTGTATGGCAGTTATCAGTATCGATGCATATAATTATTATATTTGTCTGTTTTTGTCATAAATTTATAATTTTACTACATACTCGTAATGCAAACTATTTTTCAGAAGGCTGGGAAATGTTTAAAGCATTCAATTTTTTTTTAAATTTGAAACCCTACAAAATAGTTCATATGAAATAGTAATAAAAAATTTAAGAATAAATTATTTTTAAATAATTTATTCTTAAATTTTTATTCGCTTAATTTTTCTTTATGTTTTGATTTCAAGATTTAATTCATATCAACGTTGTTATGGGCTTTCATAAAAACTTACAAAAGATTACCTCTTTTATTGAAAAACTACTAACATGCTATAGTAAAATCAAGACCAAAGAAAGTAGTTCTAACTGAGGATATTGAAGAAATGAGGGGGGGACAATAAGTAGGGTAAATATTTCAACACTTAATTTTTCGGGTTTTCTATATTTTGATTTTTTTTTTACCGGATAAGATGTAAAAGTTTAGAAAAAAACCGGACTTTCGAAACTTAAAAATTTTTAGGTAGCAATTAAATTTTAATTTCATACGCGCTTCTCAACATTTATAAACAATATTTAAAAGAACAGTATGATTAAAAAAAGTGACATATAACGAAAAAATGTTATTACGCATTTTATGACGTGTATTCTTTTGGACATAATATGCACATAGTTATACGCATAGCAGAAATTTAAATAACTTTAATTTTCATACGTATACATTTATACAAAATTTTGAATGAATTAAATAAAAAGTTTAAAAAAGCAAAGAACAACAAAAAAAATTTGAAATTTGAACGCGACAAGGGCAATTTTATATTCAAAAATGATATCATATAAGTATACAAAATACATTGTAAGCTCGGTTTGTGCTTAGTACACAATATGTTTATATTATGTATATGTGACTATGCTGCTTAGAATTTAAAATAAAATGTAAAAGAAAAAAATTAATTTTGTTCTAACAATTGGTGACAAAAGATAAAGTATGTAGTTTTTTTGTTATTAAAATTCTCTTATCATTCAGTACTGGTAATTTATAAAGAATTTATGGAATTTTTTTTAAACAATTTATTAAGAAGAAATAACTTATCTAAAAATAATGAAAGCTTTAAAGAGAGTGAGATAAGGATAATTCATAAACATAATATGAGAAAGAAAGATAAAAGACTATAGAAAACCGTATGTTTTTCTTTTTAATTAAATATACTTCTGTCTGGTTCTGGTATAAGGAATTTTTGTAAAACTTTCTAAAACTTGAAAAAACTTTATAAAGTTTTAGTATAATATAATACTTTAGCGTCTAGCATAGTACTTTTTGAACAAAATTGAGAGAAAATGATGGCGTCATCGTTTTATTGTTTTAAAATCTTTTAAAATCATAAAGCTGTCAAAACTTATGTTCGTTTTTATATAATATTATGTACTGTTTATGTTTGATAATTATTTTGAAACTTCACGTTTATTTTATTTTATAAATTTTTTAAAAGTTTTTTCAACTTTTCCGTCTAGTTTATTTTTTTTGAAATCCGATTTTTTTTTCTTTGCAAGAAAAGACGTTTCTTGCAAAAAAAACGGTTTTCTTTTTTTAAAGTTTTTTCAAATTTTATAATAGACCGATCTTACGTATTTGAAAATTAAATATTATAACATTTAGGATAATAAGCATCAATTTTGTTTTTAGAATTCTTAATGAAGATTACGTAAATGTAATTAAAAAATTTTTGTTGTTTATGAAAATTATTACACTTTTGAAATAGTTGTTATATTTATTATAACAGTTAACAACTAATTTATTATAACAGTTGATTGTTACACGTATCAGGAATAGTAAACAGTGTATAATGCGTAATACGACATCCCACTGTCATTTTAATCATACTTAAGTAGTACGCATGTGAATGAGTTGATTTTCTTATTATTTTCATTATATCATTTATTTTTAAAAAATCGTAGCCTTTCTTAAGGGAATTTTCCATCAATAGATACACTAACCTCAATTGTAAAGTGTTAAATTTAAAATTAGAAATCGATGTTTATAGTTAGTATCGATTTTTATAGAATCGAAATTATAGTTTTATCAATACATACATTATTGCCAAATTTGAAAATTTTGTAATTTTTCTTCTTAAATAAACTACAAAATTAATATGAAATTAACATTGCCGTGTAAATTTTTGTTTTATCTAATATTAAAAATATTTTTATAAATAAATTTTTTACTAGATCTATTAAGCAATTTTAATTCGCGTACATAAAATTAAATTCAAATACCAGATAGGTTTTATTTTTAAGATCAAGTTTTAGGCATTTACACAAGAGGACAAGTTTGTTTTTATTTTTTGTTCTTCAAATTTTATGTTTAATGTTGCTTTTGAAAAAATTTATAATTTTTTTTTATAATAAAATTTATTAAAAGTGGTAAGATTTTTACACATGCTGTTTTATGAATATATATCCAATCGTATTATAATATGTGTTAATTTTTATATTTTTGAATGTACATATATATATATATATATATATATAGGATCTTAAAATTTATTGCAGATTTTTGCAAAATTAAACCTGATAGATTGAACTTGATTCTTCAAAATGAATAATAGATCAAGAATAATTTATGTGTGTATAGGTAATATTTTAAAAATTTTAGCTATTTCAGTTGAATACTTACTTACGTGTTGAGTTAGAAGATTTTATTTAATGTTTTACTTTTATTTCAACGTAAAATACAAAACGTTCTACTTTATAGTAGATTTTACAATGTGTATATAGTTATGAATTTTTACTTACTTGTACTTATTTTAACCAAAAAAAAAGAAACTATAAGAAGAATAGTATACAAAGTCTCTTTGACACAAGCGCAGAACGCAAATTCTTGATTACACTGAATAATTCAACACAGATGAAAGACAACAAAGTTTCCATCACATCACTGTCGTTACGTATGTAATTTGATTCTGTGAAGTTATTTATTTATTACAACGAAGTTAAGATAATGACTAATAATTAATTAATAAATATATAAGTAAATAAGTAATTGAAAAAATAATAACAACTTTTACTTTAACGATTATATTTTAATTTGCTTTGATTAATTTGATTTTTAATATTCATTCTATAATGCTAACTTCTTCTTAAACTTCAAATTCGAGCCATATCGAACGCTAACTTTGAAGTTGATAGATTTTCTCCATTTTAAAATTTTTACGCATTGATACAGATTTTTAAATCTGTTATATGTCTCTTTTTCTTTATATTATGTTTAATATTTCGTCATAATAGATTTTATTTGAAAGTTCTTCGAAAAACGAG